GTATTGAAAACGTGATTTTAAATCATATGAATGTTCTATATTTAATCTTTAAACGATATTTAATTGCTAATATTGATAAGTTCAATATTTTGATGTCATAGATATTATAATGAGATCGGCTGTGTTTGCATATTGTGTTTTTCAAGAACGTAAAATGCTATCTAATGATATTGTTTAAATGTGTAATTATGTATTTATCTACATATTCTGGATGGTATATACCATACATATATTTTAAAATAGTTTGATGCTGTCATTTTATATACATTTGTACAAGTACTTGTTAATTTGATATTTGATCTGTATAGTACACTGGCACTTCATCATGTCACGTCATGTCTGTAATGTTTTGCTGATATGGGCCGGAAGCCGTAATCAAATAAATTTATTGTCATTGACATTGCTTTGTTGTTTCCAAGATATATTCTCCAATTCTAATTATAGACATATCGGTTCAATATATTTGGTTGCTAGGATGTCATTTCTATTTTTAACATTGGTAAACGTTGTTTGCATTCATTTGTTTCGCTTGATTAAAACAATTTTGATAGACAGAATTCGGTTAGCAAGAAAACATAAGAGACGCTTACTGCATAAGCAAGTAAATACTTGCTTATCCTGATTTGAGGGGAAAACATTCTTGTCCATATCTATAATAGAGTTTGTTGATGACGCCCATACAACCACTGTACGAGTGCCTGTCATTAATCTATTTCCTATCCAAGCATTGTGGTCTATAGGTTTGGTATGAAATGAGCAATTCTTCACGTATCATTTGTTCATGACGTTCATTTCATGTAAAAAAAATCTGAAAAAGGTGATCCATCGGAAGCAGTAATCACAACAAAATTACATGAAAAATAAACATCTTCGTGAAAATGATTATAATAATTATCATAATCCATATTTCCAGAGACTATATTCATGTATATACCAAATAGAGAGAAACGGAATGAATGTAACCCTAAAAAATACCTTTAAATTCTTTAAAATAATCAAAATAACTGCTTGAACAAATTCTTAAGGTTAGACGATCTTAAAATGTTGTGATTTTTTTACATTGGCGGGAAAATAAACCAGCAGCCTCGTTTTGAAACTAAAAGAGTTACTGACTGTAAGTCAGTTTTATTGATAAAGGTAAAAAATGTATGACTCGACATCTTGGATATTTTAAAAATACGTATGGAAATGCATATGACTAATTTTAAGTCTATATTTTTTAAGTGAAATTATATTTATAGTTACAGATCATCTGGATAGTCACTAAAGTGTACATTAATACTGATGGTAATCAATAAACTTTTTTGTAAAAAAATCATGTACAATGTAAACACATTAGCATTGCCCTAGCGAATTCATTAAGTCGCTTTTAGCGAGAATTGGAATATTGTTTCGACACTATGGGATTTGAATCATCACTGTTTCGTGAAAGCGACGTTTTCAATTCAATACGTTTATATATTTATTATCAAGTATCCAAACATCAATAGCAAAAATTTTGTTTGGTCATTAAAGTATACTTATATACAAAATAACATTTTTATATATTAAAGTTTGTCATTGTAGTAAAAATTAATTTATAGCATGCCTGATTGTGTTTTCAGCAGTCTGTTAGAATATTTTATCGACATTTATTTATTTATTTCAATATGTGTTTATTTCTTAACTCTGCTTGTTAGCTGATGCATTGAGGAGATCGTGTAAAGACTTTTAAACTTACATTTTACTTTCCCGAATCTTCTTAGAATAAGTATACCACAATGAAGTAATAGATTCTATGTTCGGAACAATTTTGGAAAAACTCAGTCTCGCACATGAATACGAAACACATCTGTATTTTTGTTATTTTGTCAATAATGACTTGCAGTACCATTCCTATGTTAAAAGATGGTCATTGATACGTTCAGTGTGTCTGTTTCTACAAACTAAGTACATGAAATATGTACATTCAACGAATTTGCAAAAATACGGAAAGAAATATGGTATTGAAAATCTACCCACGCTGTCCACGGCTGAAACAATTCGAATTTACACTTAAATAGAATGAATCAAAATGTGAGGATTACTGTGTGCTCATTAAAAGGTGTCTACAATTAATAGTTTTTTATATATATTAAAAGTAATGTTTTACAAATCAATAACTCTATTGAAATAGTGAAAATCAGAATCCCTTAAGAAGGCCCAACACGGCAGAATTGTAAAATGTTGCAGGCTCGGCTTGATTGAGCCTGTTCATGGGCGGTAATGGAAATCGCAAGCTACCGTGCACGCCCCTTAGCACCGGCTTAAGCAGAATTCAACATTTAAACACTAAAATGGTGAAATTTTGAATTTAGAAACATCTAAACATCATTTAGAAACATTGAAACCACAAATACATTTCAACGTCACACTACAACGTAAGAATTGCTAACATTTATTCGAAAGAAACAAGACGGTCATGATCACCCTATTACAAGTGGGCTAAACACATAATTGCTTGTTTTACATCAATATTATATGAACTGCATTTAATTACTTATTTTCCCGTTTGTTGCAAAAAGCACCTGTCCTTTGATGGATTGAAATAATCTTGATATAGTCTACAAGAAAGCAATATGTATGGTCTATAAGGCATTTCTCGGCTTTTAGAAAAGTTTATAATACTTGTGCACTTGAACTAAAATTATCCTTCAGAGAACTTCTGTGACTTTTAAAATATTTGGCATACAAAACATATTCTGAATGAGTAATTCAAAGTATTTACTTTGCAAAGAAGTATAAGTATTCTGAATTAAAATGTAATCGAGTCGACTACTGGGTCTCTATACAAGTTGTAACATAACATCTCTATTTATTAATAATAATTAATTAGTTAGATACTTTTGACACAGGTTTAAATCCATAAACCCAATTAATTATGTTTTATTCTACAGAATATTTAAACTTGTTTGATATTCAACCTGGAATAGAGATCAATAACTCCGAACACAGTAGGTAATAAATAAAATTTCAGAACCACCTGGTGCATGACATGCTTTCCCCCCTCCCCTTTATTTCTTACCAGCTTGTTTGATAGTTTTATACAATTGATAAAACTCCCCCTGAGATAATAATAGTGAATATAATTTTACAATGCAGAATTTAAAATATTAACAGAATCAGACATGTATTTCTTTACATATATAGTTGAATTGTTGAATTTCAAAATCAAAACCATAAACTTCTGCAGTTCTTCATTACTAGTTGTTCATGCATAATACATACAAATTGTGTTTAAACCTTGCGAATGACTCGATTCATCAAACTCAGAGAAAGTGTGCGATAAGTTAAAAGAATTATGTCCTCTGATTATTACTATAAGGCTAGGACAAAAAAGTTAAGACATTTTAGTTACTTAATTACACAAAAATAGATATTAAGCTAAAATTCTAAAACGATCTCCTTTCCTCGGTACCATTGTTTCAAAGCAATGCGTTAATTTTTGTCGAGCTTATTTGTCATGACCACAAATGACTACATGTGTAGCTTCCTACACTCTGACTTTGGCAAGAGCGCAATCTAGTCATAGTTATCATAAAAGTATCAGATGGCATGATGTACAATAAGAATTCAATTGACCAATGCAGTCATACGAATGGCATTTTATCTTGAGCCATACAGAACATATTGACGTTGAAATGGTTATTTCTTTGCAATACGTGTCAATGTAAATGGACTCAATTTCATTAAAAAATGTGCCCACCTAACATTTTGATTTCTAGACAATTATAGTTTCATTTTCACTTATTCACTTGCATAGATCAGCCATCATTACTACTTTTGGTGAATTAGTCCTACTCTGAATGTTTTATTCGATTGAAAAAATGATAATCAGATAAAACAGATAAAGAAGTTGTTATGACACAAAACCTTGACTGACTTTAAAACAATTAACCTGTCTAGTACCAAAGAACTAGAATACATCCACGGTGTATATTGAATGCACATAATCATTGTTCTGACAAATTTCATTGAAACAATACAAGTACATCATCAGTCTTTCGGAATTAATAATTTCAGCAACTAATTATTCGTGAACAAAATTAGTGAAACATAGACACTTGAATGAAAATATTCTGCGCTACAAAATTATTTGTTTTGTCAAAGCAAATTAGATTTAAGAACAAATTGATTCAGAATGACCCTCAATATCTTACCATATTGTTGCGTAGTACAATGTCGCGTTGGTGTCGATTGACCAATCCTTATAAGTTTCCATCCTACCTATATTAAATTGACATTATGCTCATTGTTTCGCTGTCATATTCAGTTGATGTAATAATATATTTTAAAAGATTGGCTATTATAATGGTGCTAGACCAATAACCGAAAATGTTGATGATACAATATAAAAGTTAACTTACATAAATTATAAAAAGGCTGCCTCAATCTTTTAAAGAATTGAACGTAACCGATGCATTCTGAACGCTTTTTCTTCAAATTTGTGATAGTCACATTTATTACTGATTTTTTTCATAGTCACATTTATTACTGATTTTTTGTTCATAGTAAAGTATAAAATCGAACATATATATAAAGCAAAATGCAAAGCCATCTTTACAGTTACTTGATCTGTGGCCATTTTCTCTTACCGGACGTAATGTCACTTTAACATAGCACGTTACATCATATACAGCTCTGCATCATTCATAGGTTTTCATTACACACTACATATATTGAGTAATTGACATTTTTTATTCACAATTAAAGAAAGACAACTCGTGACTATTTACAAAATTATCTTAATAGTTAGTTCCCTTTACACGAACATGAGCTCATGAATAATTTCAAGATATTTTATAATAATGCCGAACTTCGGCGCAGTAAAACTGTTGAGTAAAACTGTTGACAAATTATTCACCACGTAACTTATAATTTCAGGAATCAATAAATTTCGTGCCAGTTATATATTTAAATGATTATAAACAATTCTATGATTCCACTAGACCGATGCCGTATTAAAAGAATATATATTTTACCTTGTTTATGTTATTCCAATAACTTCTTATTCCACTTTAAACTTTAATAAAATCGTTTGCGATCATTGAAGAAGTCTAATACACTCTTTATTTACAAATGATTGATTAATTTGACAGTTTCTAAATACGTTTATCTTCTGTCTACAAGTTTGCAGATTATAAACATAGTTCTTTATAGAAAATATAAATGTAACAACCATGTATTACCCAGATAACAACGCTTTTTAACGGTAGAATATTATATTTAGAAGGTTTGCAATTTAAATATATAATGGACTCGGCAACCTCTAACTCTTTCATGTTCTACTTTCCTGCCGTCAACACATCGTCTTTAAGGGACTCCACCGAAGATTTTTTACATATATTTTTTAGACATTTGTGTACCATTTGTGTTGTAGATCTGGACCAATAACTTGTTATTTTTTTTAAATCTTTTTTTCAGAATAGCTATTGTTATCTGGTTATAAGTCTAAGACTAAACGTGCCTTGCCAGATTTGCCATAAACTACTGTAAGAAGGCTCACGAGGATACTCATTTAACTAAGAAATCATGAGAAATGCAACAGTTTTTGTAGTAATGACTTCATTTTTTAACTTATTACTAATACCGGATTATTCCTTGCTGATTTGTTGTTTAACATAAAAACAGAATCTGGAATATTCCTGAAAGGTAATGTATACCCATTTTCTACTATCTGTAATACGTACTCGTTTGCTCCAGCATCTTACAAGTAATTTATACAAGATTTTAATCTGTCAGCACGCGTAATAATTTCTTAATCATGAAATATACTATTTTCGGATTTAGCCTTTTGCATAGATAAATGTTACAAAGAGCAACTTACCTATGCGCTAGACTGTACATCCTTGTTCATAAACCCTCCACCGTTATGCAAACCAGCCCTGCAGTCGCTCAGCCAATGACCGGAACGTCAACACCGGAAGCACGTGTCAGGTTTACGGCCAACACATACGTTCGTCTGGTTCCACGTGGTTGGTGAGCCCGCAATTTCCTTATTCTAAGTGTAAGTGTTTGTCATAGGAAATAACGCCCGTAACGTGAAAACGCAGATTAACATGAGATTCTCGCTTTTCTCTCCTGACTAAGCTTACGCTCAGTGTCCCTCTGGACCTGAAAATCTTCTTCTCATCTTCTTCGTTTTAGGCAAGTGGATGAGCCTTATACTCGAGTTCTACACGTCACCTAGCAAAACTTGAATCAGCAAGACGTATTAACTTCTAGCGATGATTTAAAATGTCAGTACCTTGAGAGACTCCTTCGATAGCAGACGATATGGCTTCACTTTGATGAGATCTGGCAGCATCTTGAAGACGCACGTCTGCTTCCTTCATTTTGTCGAGAACACGTGCGTTTACTTTATGCTGTTTCTCGTTGCCTTTCTTACGAAATGTGAACGAGTCTTGCTTCTGAACACTAGGTTGTAATCTCGTTATCTGCTCCTGAGTAAACGCCCTCCGAGTTTGTTCAAAATCCTCAAGCTTTTGTGTTATTTTTCTCTCCACACTTGACAATAAATCGTTTTGTTCTTCCATGGCTGCACTACAAAACACACTCTTATAGAAATTGTCTGGGTAGAAGCGAATAAAAATCTTTACACTCAGTATTTATTACCTAGATACAGATAGCCTACTCGAAAAAAACACGATATTCTCGTGCACAAAAAACTGACCATTACCTCCAATACCGTAAACTATGTACATTATTTCACGGTATACTACGAAATGCGTGAAATTAATATTCTTAGCCAGAATAAATATGGACCAGGGGAAATAAATGTAAGACTCATGATCACCATGTCGTATTGGAGTTGTCGCCTTTGTATTAAGGAGTTCAGAGTGTAAACTAAATTTGAATTAGCAGGATTTTATTCCGGGTTCGTATCTTTTTATTAGATACTATGTAGATGTGTGTTTATATAATGCAACAATAAGATAATTTTAAATAACTTTGACTTTAAGAAATGTACAAATTGGAATCACAGCATATGTTTTATGAATCGATTAGACTGTCTTTTCTCTAGAAATTTGTTGACTCGCTGAATAAAATAAAAACCGTCTAGCCGCCTTTTTACTTTTACAAAAGTTAACGGATTTCTTTTACATTCAAAATATAAAATGTTTAATTACTTTTTGTGATGTCTTAACAGACATTGTAGAGAGATTATTTTTTCCAAGCTTAAGAAAAAATAAGGTATTGTTTACCTTCATTCAATGTGAACTATCTGCCCTTGAACTTAGCAAAATAATGTCCCATTCAGGGGCAGATAACTCAAAGTCTGAACGGTGAACCCACTTTTAATGTTTCTGCTATCATATTCTAACAACATGCCAAGTAAAATATATTATCTTGAACCGTTTTAATGTTTACTAACGTCTTTAATAAATGATGTACATGTAGCTCCATTATCACATTATCACCTGTATGCATGGGCACACTAAAGAAGGCTTTGGTGATTACAAAAATAGACGCACAGTGCATCATTTTTTATGCGCCTATGTTATAGAGAAGAATGTCCCAGCACTATAAAACATATAAGAATATGCTTGCGCTTTAAATTTTATTCGCCCATATGGTAATTATTCCGAGGACGAGGGTAAACAAACCTATACACACAATTGCGCTTTAAATTTGCAATACCAAAACACCGTTATTTTTTTTATTTTTTTTTAGAAAACCTGGAGGGTGTTTCATGTTCAACGTGCGCGTGTGGCTGTGTGATGTTACGTCGGGATTCAACTGAATGCAGTACAGAAAATAGCACCAGTGTCTAACGGATAAATATATACTGTTGCAGGAAGGTGCATACAAATAATTTTTTTAAAACGTTTGGCTTCTAAAGATTCCTATAAGACTTATTTCATTGAATTATTATTTTTATTTATTTATTATTATTTCCTTTTCTTTTCTTTCTTACTGTTTTTGTTGTGTTTTTTTATTGGGGGAGGGGCAAATAGAACATGCGCTGTGGATTATAAAGATCAAATAACAACAGTTACCGCTTGTGGCGCCGTTATATGTCGCAATGCCGCTAAATGTCGCACTTACCGCTAAATGTCGCACCAATACCGCTAAATGTCGCAACTACCGCTAAATGTCGCAAAATCATTTGCCGTTAAATGTCGCAATGTTAACGTTAAATGTCGCACGAATTTCCGCTACCGTTAAATGTCGCAACACTACCGTTAAATGTCGCAAGATATAAATTCATGTTAAAATCATGATTAAAAGTAGTAGTATTTTAATTTACAACGCTCTCATAGTTATTTTTACTGTAATTGCCATTTAACAAAAAGTATCTTTGTTTTAATTGTTTTCTTTTATGAACCTAAATATCGAGGATTTGAGCTGCTATATGATGTAATATTGACGCTAGAAAGCGTATTCTAGAAAGATACAATTGAAATTCAAGTCTCAATAGATAAGTATTTTTCTTTTGTCTCCCTTTTTCATTTATAACCCTGATTGACAACATCTTAAAAGTATTATGATATTGTCGCGATCAGAATTCGTTTTAAGTAATTTCATTGATTTGAAGACCTTTTTTCTTGCTAGTACTAATAGTAATACAGTCATACTAGGGCGGTTTAAGCCCCATTTACACAGTCCCGGTTTGGTGTCCCGGTTTGCCACGGTTTAGTCAACCATGATCAACCGTGGTAAACCGGCGTTGGGTCGTTGAAATTCCGTGAAGTAAAGGGACAAACCATGGTGAACCGGAACAAACTGAGAGATCACCATGGTTGTCTTCAAATGTTTAATACAACCGGGGCTCACCGGCACTCACCGAGAGGAAGCCCAAATCCGTGTTCTATCGGCTTGGAACAGGGAATTGCCGGGAAACCACCGTATCTATACTGCATCCATACCGTGACAAATCGTAGTAAACCGGGATACGTGTCAATCAATGTCCAAACGGCAAAGTCCCGGTGATGACACGATGTTGCCACGGTAAAACAGGCAGAGGTACGGTAGAGCCAGGGTACATTGAGGTCACTGGCAACAACGCTCCGGTAATGTCCCGGATATTGCAGACAAGTACGGTTATACAACGATGATAGACGGTGGTGTAACGACCTCATGCCGATACAGGAAATTTAAAGAACAGGAATATATAAACTTGAATTGCTTCTTTGGATCATTTTGTTTAGAGACGGAACACGAGCATGAACAATTTGTTAAATGAGAGAAGGAAAAAATCTTCAGCTGGTGCATTTTCAGCTTCAGGTACCTCAACCTCTGAAGGTGTTGTAGACACAGTTTTTTTCTAACTTCCACCCCCTTTCCTTCGGATGGCATCTTTTTACCAAATGACTGATGTCAACGTGGTCAGTCAGTTTTATTCTCATAAACTTGAACAGGAAGCATCGGCGCATTACCAGGGCGTCACTGGCACAGTGCCGGCATCACCAATAGCATAAACGTGGCAAAAACGGCGATAGTCGGGATGGACCGTGATGAAACCGTCTCTAGTCGGGTTTCCACCGGAATCAAGCGGGAATACACCGATTTAGCATCGGTGCTTATCGTATATATCCGGTGCTATATCGGGTTCTGAACCGGGAATACACCTAGGGTGGTTGTCTCGAAAAATTCTCGTATCTTAAAGTTGTGACTAAACTTACGAGATTGCTAAGGTATAACTAAGATGTCCTTATTTCATTGTCTGGAAGGACACCTTTACGATCTCGTTTCTCAAACGTTATTTACGACATCGTATATGCAAAGGTGACTTTGTGTAGTTAACGCATGACCCACCTAATGCATTAAATCGACTTTGAAGAGGCTAGAACTACGGTCTACTGTAAAGAAACCGAGGGACGTGGGTTCAAGCCCCAGATGAGGCAGATTTTTTTTTTGATTTTTTTTTCTTAAAATATTATTTTTATGTCTCTCGTATCACTCTTGGTAAGAAAAAAAGTGTTTTATTTTAATTATAAAATTATTCTCGGTATTTATTGGCTTAGTTATGCCAAATTTATTATCAAATACCTGATATTTTCAAAGTCTAATAAATCAAACACTAGACGGTAAAAGTATTTTATATTTGACAAGACCAACCAATTTACATGTACGTTTTAGAAAATTTAGGCAATCTTTGTAAACAGGCCCTCATTCTGGTAAATTTTAGGGATATTTTGAACACGGCATTCCAAGTAGGAAAATGGTCAAACAAATATTT